AGCCAATTTACTGATCAGACCTAAAATAGTGTTAATCAATCTCTGTCCAGATGGAGTCACACGACAGAGAGACATTTGAGTGATTCATCGACTGTATGTAGCCTTGAGTTTGTCTTTCTTACTGACTTGTTCAAAGAAAAGCTGGACTCTGTGGACTTCATTATGCTAGCTTCAGTTAGGTTTTGTGTGTTTTACCCCTTTTTGTGTTAAATAAAAAATCTTCTTTTTTGTCCCCCACATATGTGGATGTAAATGTTTAAAGGCAACAGTGAAGCACTGAGCTCAACGTCACCTTTAAAAGGACTTCGTTAAACTCTTAATTCTAAAGATCATGTGTGAAAGGTCATTATGGCTGAATTATTTTAGCAGTCGTCTTTGGGCTCATGTACGTTTACTTAGGACGATGGATAATAACAGACTCGTGTGCTTTGCTGTTTTCATTGTGTTATGATGTGTGACTTTGGTCTTGCTTTGTTTTTAGACTGCAGCCAAACAGCAAAATTAACTGTTTATCTTGGAGGGTAAAGCAGAAGGAATCTTTCCTTAAATCAGCTTTCACAGGTTTAACAGTCGCTCTGTGTCTGTGGGAAAAGGCGACCGTGACATTTGTGAGATGCACGTTTATGAAAATGTCATTTCTCAGCTACCCCTCCCTGTGTGAGCGTGGCAGCGCTGTTAGGTCAGTGAGCGGCTCCTGCTTTTGGTTTGTTTATTTCCTTGTTAATAAAACTGAATATTTTATGGATGTTTGGATGTTTAGAGACAACAGACTTGACTCATTTGCTACTGTTGGAGGTGCTGCGAGTTTTCAGTAAGCTAAATCAGATTAAAACCTATCTGAGTTCCAGCTGGTCTCAGGATAGAGATGCTTTAGTCGGCTATACTTTGTTTGAAAATTCATAACCAAAGGATCACTTAAGGTATGTTTCTCCCACTGAAAACGCTACGACCAGATGAACAGAATCAACTTTTTGGGATCTGTATCCATGATCTCTGGACATACTGATTTGTTTTCGATGTAGCACCTCTTTTATTTAACCTGCATTATAAACTGCAGATAATGAAATCCTCTTTATTTGAAAAGAAATCTTTAAACTATTTTTGTTCTGTTTATTTAGTGAATAAACAGTTTGAACAAGAGCGGTATCGTGGCATTGGCAAATCATATTTAAAACAACTGTGATGAAGTTTATTTGACCTTCATATATAATCCAAGGGAAAGATTCTCTGTAGTAATGATCTCTGTCTGTCTGTGTGTTCCTGTGGCTGGCAGACGGGAGGTCGTCTCCCAGTAAACTGACCATACAGTCAGTTTGGACACAGGACGACTCCAGATGTTGGCAAACATACAGTCAGTCGTGACAGAAGCGCTCTGTGCTCGACCTCAGATCCAAACACCAAACATGTTATAATTGTGTTTGAATGAATTCAAATCAGCTTATTTACAAGAGGTTTTTATACATTTGCATAAATATCTTGTTTTTAATACACTTTATATTAATGTACAGTAATGCTGCTGTGAGAAGTGCTGATAGTTTTTAATAGAAGGCCTACGACACAAAAATGTTTACTTCTCACTGTTATGTTGTAGAATCCACTTAATCATGAATGTACGCTGCTGTGTGCTGTCGACTGTAAGGTTTTTTAAATTTGTGAAACAAACTATAATTTAGGGCTCATGAACTGTAAATGGCCTGTATTTGTATAGTGCTTTTCTAGTCCTTAAGGACCCCAAAGCGCTTTACACTACATTCAGTCATCCACCCATTCACACACACATTCACACACTGGCGATAGCAAGCTACATTGTAGCCACAGCTGCCCTGGGGCGCACTGACAGAGTAAATGTCTCATAACATCAGGAGCAAATGTCATATCAGAGGGATTAAGCGAATAAATGTGAGTCCTAGGCACAAGATGAAAAAGAGCTTCCAAAAGTCATTGATGAACAAACACTGGGCACTAAAGTGGCATCCTCTCTGCGATGGGGTGTGGTTTGCAGCTCAGCAGCAGGGGAGGGATGGAGAAGGAAGTTCAGCGTGTGGTGTCAGGGGAGGCTGACCAGCACAGCAGGTCTCCATCACCTAATAATGCCTCGTGTGTTTGAGCAGGATGACCTGACAAGAGCGCTGTGCTGGAGAAGAGGCAAATGTTCATCTTCTTTTCCCACTCTGTTAGTTCAGAAGTCGGACCGAGTCCATTCAATCACTTGAATGGGGACAGCTTTGGGGGATATTTTGGTGAGAATATTTTTACTAACTAAAAAATGGTTTAACAAGTAGCCAGAAAATATAATGACTGTTGTTTCACCGCTGAGCTGATTGATCTGGTACAAGGATCTCTGTGCAGCGCTGGAGGCGATACATGCCACAACTCAACTAGGATAATAAAGATTTTAGCCAAGCATAACACACACTACAGAATCCTACCATTACTATTATTATGACGATTATTAAGTCCTACACACAGAGGGGTGTTGCACTGTAACTGCCTCAACAATAACTGCAAAAACTAGTGATTTGGTCACATTTTGGAGGTTACATCGTTTTTCTAAGGAGAACAAGAGAGAGAGAAAACCATGAGTGGAGCACTCTGGAGATGTGGTATGTGACAAACAGCTTGAATGTATCCAGCATAGGTTAGCTCAGGAGGTTATAACTGTAATATTGTGACACAAATGATCTTGAAAACTTCATATCACACCTCTCAGAATCTTTTTGTGTAAAACAGCATTTAATATTCATTTCGCTTTGGAATAACTTAAAAATAATACAATTATGAAGTCAAGAAAAAATCCTGCACTGAGCTGCAACAGCAACATTTCTGTACTGTGTTCAGAAAAGCAGAGCTCGACGGTGAAAAATAAATGATTAATCCTAAATAAAACCAAATCTACGTTTGGCTGCAGCCCTTAAAACAATTTACATGTATGTATATTATCAGATCCTCTTCCTCAGTGACAGAAAACATTTAGATATCACATAGAAAGACACGCCCCCTACTGTTAACGGTTGAAACAACAAACCAGACATTTCAAAATAAACGCCAAACGCCAGGTAAAACCTCCCGGCTTCAAACTACAAAACAATATTTCTAAATGTAATGAGTGTTATGATAACCTAGCTGAGCTATTCCTATGTTTTTGGTTTTTGTTTTAGAAACGATTGACGTTACACAGTGTAAAAGTAAAACTACAAGTAAATAGTTTTATTTCATCGGGCCAAATCCTGATTAGACAAAATCTCACAAAATATAAATTATTAAATGTGAAAGAAAATCATCATTAAGCCGCGTTAATGTATCTGTTGGTTATTCCTACACTGTGTATTTATGTGTTCACTTGTCATTGGAGCTGATGATTGATTTGAACCAGTGACGCTGATGGCTTGCTTTTATTTTGAAGTCTGACAAGTACTCCGGTGTGCGGCGGTGTGGAGCTGGGCGCTTGACAGACTTCTCCAGCAACGATTTGTGATCAAAGGCGAGTGAGGTGGAGGCTGACCCGTGGGCGGTCACACTGCGCAATACCATAGGGCAAAGTTTGCCTGCTCTGATCTGCCGCTTGTGACTCGGAGGACTGCTGTGTGCGGCATGAACCAGGGCTGAGCGCAGGCTCGGGTGGTGCGTATGTCCAATATTATCTTTAATGAATGCTGCCGTGTAACCGCCGCGTTTCAGAACGTACTCTCTGGCGCGGGCCTCTGCCTGTCCACTGCACCGATCCTAGCCATGGGTGGGAGTCTGGGTTGCCACCGCTCCATCCCCAAAGACCCCACTGATTTCAGCTGCGGCAAGCGCAAATTCAGCGCCGCCTGCAATTTCAGCCACATTTTGGTGAATCAAGAGCGGCTGAACATTAACATCGCCACCGAGGAGGAGCTCATGACTCTGCCGGGAGTTAATCGCACAGTTGCGCGGAATATCGTGCAGTACCGGGACTGTATCGGTGGCTTTAAAAAGGTGGAGGACCTGGCGCTGGTAAGCGGGGTCGGGGCCACCAAGCTGGAGGTGATCAAACTGGAAATCTGCGTTTCTAGCAGGACCAGTTCTTCCCAACACTCTCCGTCGTCACTGCGCAAAGACTTGGACTGTCAGTTCTACACCGGGATGAACATCAACACCGCCACCCCGGCGCAGCTCATGAGCATTCGCGGTATCACGGAAACTATTGCAAAGAACGTGGTTTCGTATCGCGCGGAGCACGGCCCATTTAAAAGCATCGAGGACCTGGTAAAGGTGAAGCACATCAACAGCTCGCTGCTCGACAAAATCCGGTTCCAAGTTTTCGTGGAGCGCTCCCGGGCACCCTCCACCAACACGAACGCAGGGCTCCCCGGCACCACCAAGTGTCACCCAAGCCCCTCTTCCTTTAGTCTGGGCAGCGACGACTTGGACCTCCCACCTGGAGGCCCGACCCAGATCGTCTCTGTGCGGCCGAAGGTGGATCGCCCGCTGGGGCTCCGGGACGGGAAGTCCGTAGTGCGCGTGGCCACCTGGAGCCTGCAGGGCTGCTCGTGCGACAAGGCTAACAACCCGGGGGTCAGGGAGGTGGTGTGTATGACCCTGCTCGAGAATGAGTGAGTACCTGCACACACACACACTCATCACACCTGAAGGCCGCGTGGTTACTGAAGCGTGGGCAGATGAGGAAAGCTTATTGTTTAAGTGGTCTCGGACGTGTGTCTGATTTCTGTGCGTGCATCCGGCAAAATACTGAATAACTCACTTTATTAAATTCAATCACTTTTATTTATATTGCGCGAAATCACAATAACAGTCTTAATGAATGAAAGTTTGTAAGATAATAAACAAAACAACTCGAGTTTCATTTTTCCATCACACTAAATGCGCACAACGTCCAGCCAGCTGCATGTGTGCTGATAGTCATTATGTCAGGATATGCCAGCTGTGCCGTCCACACACCAAAGGACACCTACAGCCACTCACTGCCGCACCAGTCAGCTGAAGCTCTTTGAGGTTTAATCATGCTGTGACCTCATCATATTTTCAGATTCATGACTCTTTCAGTCCTGAACGGAGCCTTAACAGGACGAACCCCTCCCACAACATTACTGCGCGCAGGTCCAAGTGTTCTTGTGCAGAAACCTAAATAGTGATTTGATTTGAATGACAGTCGTGCAGGAATGATGGCTCTTTGTTTCAGGTTTATGTTGTGCATATTTCAGACTTCAGAAAAACAAAATAAAAGTAGCTCTTTGCTTTGTGTTATTTGTCTGTTATGGGTTCAAAAATGTGGAAACATCATTAAAACTACTGCAGAAAGAAAATAAGAGAACATTGTTTAAAAAGAAAAGTTCAGAGTCATCACCTGATTTTACAAAAGCATAAATCTGGGATTTAACAGACCAAACTTAATCGTGACCTGACGAGTTTTTTGTAGCCTTAAATCTGGTTTTATGTCCAGAATAAAACTCGCATCATGCATCTTTTTTTATAAAGCCATCAGATGCATATGAAAGGGAAAATGTATCATACAAAATACATGAAAATTCTACCCCGAGACAGCAGGCGAAAAACATTATCAGGGCTTCGTGATTGAGGTCAAGCCAGTTTTGTGTTGCAGGGTGACACATTCTCAGATTCCCTGTCAGACTTGTGAAATGAATAAAGAGCACAGTGGACCGTGGTTCATATTCCACCAGTGAAAATGTTCTTTTAAGCAGAAAACTAACTACAATAAAATAAAAATCCATCCATGCATTTTGTTTGGCTTATCTTGGGCTGGATCGTGGAGGCAGCAGCCTAAGCAAGCATGCCCAGACCTCCCTCTGCCCAGCCACCTCCTCCAGTTTATCCAGGGGAATACCGATGCGTTCCCAGGCCAGCTGAGAGATTTAATCTCTCCAGCGTGTCCTGTGTCTGCCCCGGGGCCTCCTCCCGGTGGGATATTCAGCTCTTGAATGACTGAGCTCTTCATCCCATCTTGTCCCTGACCCAGAGTGGCCACTACAACCTTCTCCGTCTGAGGACCGTGGCCAAAGACTTGGCGGTGCTGATTTTCTTTCCAGGCATTGGTCTGCATACAGTGAAAACATAAGACTCTGGGTGTATATACCTGTGAAGACCATGAGTGGCTGTGAAAAATGAGAGTATAGGCAGAGCGCAGCAGCAACGCAAATCAGGCATTAGGGTTTAAATCTCAGTGGCTAGGCTCTTTCTTCTGTTCTCTCATGGATAAACGAGAAGCTAAAGTTTGGTAAGGTGTTTAATTGATACTCCCCCTTTTTTAATATTACAAAAAAAGTTCTTTAAGCCATCTATAGAGCTTCACCGTGGTGTCCAGAGCAAACTGTGTCAAGTACGGCCTAAAGTCAGTAAAGGTGTTGTGATCATTGTTAGTGAGGAGCAGGAACAGCAGCAGCAGGAGGGCACTGTGAAGGAGACTCAGTGTGTTTGCACAGTGACAAACTGCTGTGTTAGTAATCATAAGACCCAGTCTAAGTTTACACACTTCATGACTTTCCTCCAGGCAAAAGCAGACAGCTACTACAGTTCAATGAACTCTATTTTTTTTCACCAAAGTTTGCACAAACTGCTCTCGGCCCAAACAGCCTATCAGGGATGTGGAGTTAGACTCAGCTGGCTGCAGTCATCCTGACTATAGGGAAGTGAAAAGAGCTGACTTAAGCTCCTAATAGCAAGGTTCATATGGATCAAAGCATGCAAGCTGATAATGTGGTGTTAATGTTTCTTACTGTTGAATTCTTCTTTCCCTGCTTTTGAAGCATTTATGAAATATGGACCGTGTCTCTCAGTGTCCCAAACAAGGTGGGCAGTTCTGTTCTATTGTGTCAGCTGGGACGCATCTACTTCCCCTCCTGCGTCGACACTTCACCGAGAGTACTGACGACGGTGCACCCAGCATGCTTTAGACAGATCACTGATGTTAGATCCTTTGTCTTCCCTTTAATTTCTCTAGAACTTCCTGATCCATAATGACTGGATGAGCAGAGGCACGCCATGATTTTTGTTATATGAAAAGTAATTGAATTAATTAATAATGCGTAAAGTAGTGTGCTATTATTATAAATGCTGCCCGATATCCTGGACCTAAAGCTCTCTCACACTCTCACCTTAGGTTTGTTGTGGTTGCTGCCTCAGTTGTGACAGATTGTTGCCTATCTGATAATGTGCACAAACGTACAACTAACCAACAAAGAGGGATGAAGGGAATCATCTTTCACTCTCACTTTACGATACAAAGGAGTTCATGGTTGATTTAGAAGGTGTCCAGGTCTGGTGGCCTCAACATGAGCCCAGATCATCACACCTCCACCACCATGCCTGACAGTTGGTATGAGGTGCTTCTGCTGATATACTGTCATATACGAGGGCGCCAAACAGGCCCAGCTTTGTTAGCCAGCTAACCAAACTAACTAACCATCCAAAGCATATGGGACTGAATTAAAATGTCGAAATTTAATGTTGAAAGATTTTTTGTTATTTTTGTATTTTGGACATTTGAGTGAGATAAAAGCCCAGTACTTACGTTATTAGTTTATACCTGGAAACTGGACCAGTTTCTTGGACCGGCTCCTATTTTTTCCCTCCAAATATCCTTCAATCACTGATGTGCGATGAATATTGGGACAGGGTGGACCTGGTGCAACCTGTAAATCTGGGGGAAAGAACGCATTTGTGGGTTGCTTTTGGACGAGCCCATGTGGACAGCCTTCGTCTCCTGGTTGTGACTTAATCAGTCTTCAAATGTGACGCTCAAAGGACGCAGCCACTGATGCTTCACCGTGTCTCACTTGTGTCTGCATTGAAGCAGCTAATATGAAGTCCTGTTTGGCATTATCAGTGGTTGCTACTGTCAGAGTGACACTGACGAGTCTTTATGCAACATTTACTCTTATGCTTATGTGTATTTTTCTTGCTGTAAACCCAACTAATTTTGTCTACCTCTATAGACTTGGCCATAGAGTCGTGGCTTACAGTTACCAGTGTTGCCCTGATGAGATGGCTAATAGGCAGCTCAGACTGTGGGTGTTTGGATCCTTGCCAGTGGAAATGGGAGGATCAGGATCTTAAGCAGCAGGAGCGTTGCATGCTCTCAGAGCGATCAGACCTGCAGGGGAGGAAGGAGGTATTGTCTGTGGGACTGCAGGCTGTTTATTCTGAAAACAGGATCTGTGGACAAAGTTTCTGCCTATAATCCCATCAACACCAAGCTGTTCAGCGTCTCAGGTGGGCCAGTGTGGCAGAGCAGTGAAAACATGCAGGTGCTAGAAAAGTGAAACGGAGTCCAGCAAAATGTGGTCTGAACAGAGTAAAAAAACAGCTTTTTAAAACAACAGCCACTGATCAAAGCTTTACAGCTAAAAGAATAATGAAAAGCACGATACAAATCAAAGAACACAAGTAAAACAGCACAAGTAAAAAAAAAAAGCCATAATTAGTTTGGAGCAGCTGTTGCTCAGGAGGTAGCCTCGGTCATTAACCAATCAGGTAGTTTGATCCCTCTACTCTCGTCCTTTGGCAAGATACTGAACCATGATTTGCCCTTGATGTATCCACGGAGTGCGTGTGTGTGCGTGTGTGTG